TGTATGCTTATATGTAAAAGATGTGTTCTAAAACGGATCAGTTTTTATAAGATCTCCTAATTTCTACAACCGAATGTTGACCCTGTATCTGTCTTTAATGAACTATGGAATTGATTAAGGTTTCATATCAAATGAAAATGGCGTGAATATTAGTCCAGCTCTAGAGATGCAAGGGAAATGTTGCAAAAATAATTTTAGCTACAGAGGCTAGCCAGCTTAAATTTATTTTTGATGCAGGCGTCTTTACTGCTTTTGCCGATAACAACATTATCCAATGGTCGTACTCAATGGGAAACTAGGCTTGCTACATTAAGTTCTAATCCTATCACCTCACCAGTCTGTTGTTGTACTTGTTGGGAGACATTAAATTATATCTGCATGAGATATAGTTTTGTTGAGTAGCAATGTTTAACAATGTCATTATAAAATACATACTTGTGTCTTAAGTGCCTTTCCTCTGTGAACACTCAAGGTCAATACATCAGTTCTAATGCACAGTACTGATAGCTGCTTACCTCTGCTTTCCTGGCATCTGTGCCTAGCGCTGCAGAGAGTGGTCTGTACAGTGCCCGAGATCCAGCACGGACCTGTTCCAAGAAACAAGAGAGAGACACATGTAGTTGAGAAAATCAAGCTCTGATAATATACTGCACAAAAATGTCATGCTGATACATTTCTGTATAATTATTGTGTTGTGCTAAGAATACATCTAATCTCCTGAGGTCAGAATTAAAAGCATGTGGGCTCATCCCAACAGAGACATTTGGCTAGTAAAAAATGTGGTTGTATGAGGAAGAAGTATTAAAATAATTACTTTAAATTATATATAATACAATATAATAGAACAGCATTACAATGAAAAGTCCTGCATTCAAATATTCACATAAGTACAAATATTCATAATGCAGAGTGGTTGTTGTTAGTGTTTTAGGATCATGATTTTTGATGTATTAATTAATATGTAAGCAGTACTTTAAATGAAAAGGTGGAAATTATTTAACACCTTTCTTTTAGTACTTTAATCTGCAACATTGGTTGGTTGTATTGTAAACTGAGAATCAGAATTGGATAATACAATAACACATTATAAGTAAAAACCTAATAATAAAAAAAAGGAAAAATAACTTGAAATGTAAATTAATGTTTTTCTAAATACTCAAGTTAAATAGTAGTACATCAACATGTACTTGTAAATTACCAAATTGCTTTCCACCCTGCCTAAACAACAGTGATCCATTATATTGTGGCTTCGGATTCATTCTGCTCAGATTTCACTTTAAATATGGCTGCTTCTCAATTAACTGCATCATATGTTTGAATGTAGATGATAGATGTAGATAAGGATGGGGATGCAATGGCTATGCTAAGGCTTGATTATGTTCAAAACAAGGACGTCCTTGCAGGTGTGAGCACTAGCTGACTTTAGCATGGGTCAAAGACGGCTACATGGCTGAGTGCTAGCGTGAGCGACTTGAATGCAGCTGGTTTGCCCTGGCATGAAGGCATGAAGGCATGAACACAGACTTGCAGCTTTTGTTGCAATATGTCATGAAATCACAGTCCATTGAAACAGACTCACTCACCAGAGAGGGCGTGGAGACGAATTTAGCACAGGCATACATTATGATGAGCAGTGGTCAGGTCAAGCTAAGGAGCTGGCGTTGATTCAGGGTCAGAAGTCTGTAGAAAACAATACACAAAACAAAGAAATGCATTGAAGAACAACAATGAACAGTTTGACTTGGTTAACTGTGTAACTAGTTGTCTAAATGAGAAAGTACACAGTGTGCGAAGTTACGTGGAAACATACAAGTAAGGTCAAGATTAGCTGCAAAACCGAGCAATGTCACTGAAAAACAAGCTAGTTGTTAAATCCTAGAAGCTAAGCATTGCTGTTGTTAATATAGCGAAAAGAAACACCGAGTTACAAAGAAGAGACACGAATAAATGTTAAACTCACACAGCTAGTGACTGAGGAGGTTATCTCTTACCGGTCTGTAGTAGAGGTCGAACACACGAGAGACGTGCGCATGCGCAATATCACGTCAAGGGGTTGACATCCGGTTTCCTGACGCTTTTATTTGTTTTGCCATTGAAGATGTTACATTTAGTGCGATCACGACAATTACCAGAAATTAACTTATGTTTATATTTCTTTTTTTATTAAAAATAATCAGTGGGAACTTTTTCAATCGCTTTGATATAATGACTACACTGGACGGAGAAGACACGCCTCTTTCTATTTGATTGAACGCCTTCATCTATTTTATGCGAATATTGTTATCAATCGCCATTATTTTCAATAGCTTCCATGTCATGTAAGACTACAAACCAATGCAGCATTGTAAAACTACACTGGACGAGTATAACATAGTTAATTGGAGTTTAGTGCTTCTACTATCTTATATGAACATCTTTATAAATAATGAAACTATTGGATTATTTTTTCAATTGATTACATATAATGTGACATAATGACTCCAAATCAATGCACAATTGTATCACTTCACTAGACAAAGAGGTTACATGATATGAGAAGTATTGAAAAAATCAAATGCTTTTCTTTTTTCTTTATCTAAGAAGCGACATTGCATGTCCAAACTTGAATACTGAAAAGATTGTCTGAAAGGTTAATTCTACTTAAATAACCAGAGAATTAGGTTGTGCATATTAAATCCATCTTAATTTACTTAATACCCCATACAATATTTTATCTTGTAAGAGGAACAATTAGTCGGCTTCCATTTTGTGTCTTGTTCTTTCATTTTGTATCAAACAAAAGAACATAATACAGATTTAGTAAGTTTGGGAATACTAGACAAAGAGGTCTCAATAAATAGCATAAGTCATATAGATATGAATTGTCTCGATATCCCATTTGTGTTATTCAAATAAGAAAGTAGTTTCACTCATTGCGCAACATCCTTCAGCTATCCATTTTCCCATAATAATATAAATAATGTAGGATCTATGACACATTTGGAAAGGTCTTGCTAGGATTTCTTAGTATGATAACAAAAGGACAATACCCACCATAGTACAGCATGTTTAAATGCCTTTTCGATTGAATTAACCAGGATCTGGTGCACACATACTAATGCTGAATATTTTTGGCACTGGCACTGCTACTTGCAGAGATAATTTGAACATAATTGTATACTTTATTTACGATACTTACATCCATGATATAATTAAATGCAATTATGACTGGAAATTAGAGCTTCCATAACCAAAATGCTTTTCTTGAGGTATGATAAATTAGTCCGGCTATAATGTATATTCACTTAAATTAATGGTAATTCCAATGGCCATTTGTTATGAAATCATTTCCTTTAAAGAATAATTTATAGCAGCTGAAGCAGTCCTATTCTGAATGTGAAGCTATGCAGCTGTTATATGCATAAGCCATCACATTCACATATACAAGCTATATAAACTGTGATAAACAGATTACAAATGCAAACATCAATACAACTAAAACATATCTCAAGGTCAGAACAATTCAGAGAAGTATGAGTAACAATCTGTGGGGTGATTTTATGGAATGGTTTGGAGCAGGAGTTAAAACAAAGCACAAGCATAATTCAGTTTAAAAGGATGTACAGAAACACTTTTTTGGAAAACTATGAGAATGAAGAGAGGTGATTGAAGATGAGAAATTATTGTATATGTATAAATATAAATGTAATAACTTGCATAATGATTTAAAGGACAATCATTGATCAATTAAGGGGTGGGAATTAATAAGCATTTGCTTCCTCCTGCTCCCTTTCGGACACATATGATTTTTTTATTATTGATATGAATGTGGATAAATACTGTATTTTAATAATACGGTATTCTGTTTTTCACATTTGTTATTTGTTATTTTTTTAATCTGTTCAAAATAAAGATTGAAATGAAATATAGCACAACTGTTTATAGTTTGTATTGTTGTTTATCTATTCACATTTCCGACAAAGGGACAAGGGAGAAAAGACATGATGATGTTGGACACACACCAACGCAATGAGTTTAAAAGGTTCAACTGTAATGTGAGAACTGAAGCCACAAGAGGGCACCAACACACCATGCAGAGTATGAGACCTCAACTGGAAAATGACATTCATTGTATGCGAGAAAATATATATAAAAAAGGATGTCAGATGCACGATTAAACATAAATAAAACATGCAATAGCTCAATAGAGAAATCTGATCTGAATGTATTTGAACCCCATTTTGGACATATAGATCTGTTCCTATTGATGTATCAAACAGCCTTGATGTTTTCAATGAAATCGTTTTGCATTATTCAACTAAGGCATGGATCAGTAAAAACATACATTATAGGTATAGGTCAGACCCTTCAGCTGTGAAGAATTCGGAAAGTGCAAGAAATGATGGTTGTGTGTTCAGCCTTTTTATTTTTTTTCAAGCAGCAAGGTGGATGGAAAGATATACTGATTGATAAATGCATGCCAACGTCTGTTTCAGTGTGTAAGTATTCCTTTGTCTGCGCAATGATAAATTCAAGTGTTTTGTTAGTCAAGAGCAGCAATAGACTATGGAAATAACACCAAATATTTCACGTGATATATATACCTTTATAATGTATGCAACTCCTTCGTATAATAACAATATGTCCAATATGTGCTTTGATTGTATTGACCTCAACCTTGCAGCGACCATGGAGCTCTGATAAATTTCCAACAAGACAAGTCATTATAATTTCATAAAAGCGTTCCCCTGGTCTCTGCATCAAGCACTTTTACACAGTAAAATATTGCATCATGTGGATATCCTTTCACTGTCTCTAAATGTATCTCATAAATGAACATTCAATATTTATATCACTCAAGCTTTGAGTGGGCTTCCCCTCTTCAAGGAATCGTTTCTGGCCACCCCCGCAGAGGTAGCTCTCCATTTGGCGCTGCGGAAGGGAGATTCCTCAGCTCTCACCCCTCCTCTGTATGATGGTGCCATTACGCACCACTATAATAAGCGGAGACGTGATCTTCTGGGGCGAATCCCTGCCTACGTCACTCCCAGTCCTATATATAAATATCCTGAGCACCGACTCTGATCAGACTCAAACAAAACCGCTTTTTCGGCTACCACAACTCTTGAAACCAAGGATTATTTGATCGGCTTCGCTGGATTTTATTCCCTGCACCGGGTAAGTGTCTTTAATATGGTGACAAATGTTAAGCTTTAGTCTTATTATGCATTTTTGGGGGGAGTAGTATTGGACATGTGGTCAGGTCAGGTTGAGATTTCAGAAAACAAAGACATATAATTAATTATTTCAGCCTATGTTATGTTATACCATAAAATACAATTACGTTGAAGCATTATTTTTCACGAACTAGACTTTTACACGTGTGTCCGTGAGTTATATTTAAATGTTAATAAACACATGAACAGACATTTACGCATGCCACATCTGTCCACAGATCTTCGGTAAGCAACATGACTTTGAACAAGGGTGACAAATTGCGGAACATGGACAAAAGAAGAGGAAGCATGCCGTTTCCAATGAATGTACCAAACCTACACAGGAGAAGCATGCCAGTGGACGACCGTGATCTGAGCGCCACGATGCCACAGACGGGGCAGACTGACGACCTGTCCAACCTCCTGCGCTGCACGTCCTACTCCCCGAGCGAGCAGCACCGAGGCAGCTACGCGTCGGACTCCTCCGACTCCGTGATCTCCACCGGCAGCGAGACGGAGTCCCAGATCTACAAAGTGGTTCTCCTTGGGGAGCACGGAGTCGGCAAGTCCAGCTTGGCGCGCGTCTTTGGAGGAGTTGAGGATGCTGGTCACGACTGCGATGAAGCAGGTAAATGCTGATGATGCTGAGGATGAGTCATCAACCTCAATACACACATACACACACACACACATTTGTCTATAAATGCACTAATTAGAAGTGGAAATATTAATTTAGTCTCCATAATTCTGAACAATTCACATGCAAATATATTACCAATTTTGCTTTGAGGTCAAAGGTGTATTCAATTATATCCTATTCATCATTTTTAGAAAGAAACAACTCAAGAAATAAACACCATAACAAAAAATACATAAAAGCCCCATGAAGCCCTATCAACTCTGTAAGGGACAGACATAAAGTTAAGCTGGTGCATTAGAAGAAGCAAATTGCAGGCAAGAGTGTACATGAATTGATTATTGCTATTTCCATCTACAGCGAGGCACCAGCCCTGCCCGCAGTAGTGCAGCTGTCAGAAATGCATCTTAGCACAAAGGAATGGAAAATATAAAAGGCCAATAACGGCTTGATCACGAACTATGATCAGCTTTCTGCAGCAATGTGTACACTTTAAAGTGAAATGTGTGTTAAAATCAGTGTGTGCTCTGCTCCTCTGTCAGTGCATGTGTAACACCATTTTTCCTCTTATCTTTCACAGGAAACACGTATGACAGATCTATGGTGGTAGATGATGAAGATGCATCCATTGTGTTGTATGACATCTGGGAACAGGTGAGTTATATATTATTTATGCAATGTATGCTCCACTGAAATTGATTAATGGATATTGCAATATGAAATCAGCCATGTTTGAGGCTAAACTCTGTCTCTGCTTCCTTCCTGAAGGATAACAGTCAGTGGCTGAAGGACCAGTGTATGAGGATGGGAGACGCCTACATCATCGTGTATTCAGTGACAGACAAAGCAAGCTTTGAGAAGGCGTCAGAGCTGCGTATTCAGCTGCGCCGGGCAAGGCAGTCAGAGAACATTCCCATAATCCTCGTGGGCAACAAGAGCGACCTGGTGCGGTCAAGAGAGGTGTCAGTAGATGGTAAGTTAGAATGAATAAATACATTTTGAACCTTAAATGGGTCACAGATTCCTGATTTGTTAAGATCATGTGTTATAGCTCAGGGAAGCTATAGATAAATAAGTTTCTTTACTTGAAAAAATGCAATATTTATCATTTAAAGCTTAAAACTATTTTTTTTAAAAGGCATGCATTCAAATATTACAGCTATCTAAAGCTAAAGTTTTAAAATATGATCACTATAGGATTTATCACGTTCAACCTAAATCTACTTAAGCCTCTATGTTTTTCTAAATGTACATACATTCAAAGCACTAATATTCCTTTCTCCATATTCTTTATCTCAGAGGGGAGCGCCTGTGCAGTGGTATTCGACTGCAAGTTCATCGAGACGTCTGCCTCTCTTCACCACAATGTGCAGGACCTTTTCGAGGGCATCGTCAGACAGATCCGCTTGAGGAAAGACAGCAAGGAGGAGAACGCCAGACGCATGGCCAACTGCAGACGCAGAGAGAGCATCGGCAAGAAGGCCAAGAGGTTTCTGGGCCGCATGGTTGCACGCAAGAACAAGAAGATGGCTTTTAGGCAGAAGTCAAAGTCCTGTCATGACCTCACAGTTCTCTGAGGAACACATGGGACTAACAGACATTTTTCTTTGGCCTCTGAAGACCAGAAGCTGTGTGTGTTTTAACACTAACCCTAAAGGACTAATAGAGCTGTACAGAAATATATTTTTATTTTTAGACACCCACCAAAAGAGGACATAAATAGTAAAAATGACACCATTCAAGTCATATCATGATGATGGTAATAACCTGCATGGAGCTTTGTAAACATTTATTTTCTTTCATATTATTATTTGTGTCTGCCTTAAACATGTTGCTGTCCTAATATGTGTTTGAATGAGAAATGCAAAAGGTTTTTTGTCTTCTAATGAGTTGCAAGGACTGCCTTTCTGGTGGGTTGTTGTGCACCTTTATTGGAGGGGATTGATGTATATAACAGGAATGATGCTGGATGCAATATACATCTCATTTTCCCAAAAGATGCGGTAAAAGATCACAGTACTTGGTCATCTGAGGTCATTTTTACTTGAAACGAGGTACGCAGGTTCGTGCCCCGGCCAAGTGACTGAGGACTAGTCAAAGATATGAAAAAACATCTGGCTTCTTTGTTGTTCCATAAGATTGAATTCATGTTGTGAATGTATAAGTAAAGCAATACGTTATATTTGTCCTGTGAACCATGAAGTGTTTTTGGAAATTCTTTGTTTACCTTGATTTTCTTTTTTAATAAAAGATACAATAAAAAAGATGAAATCTTCTCTGTCATTTGGTCCAAGAACAATGTTTATGCAGAATGCATCAGAAGTCATTCAGGCGATTTACATGCTCATGAATATTCATTTGATGGTCTGTGGAATGGAGCCTCACTGGCCATTGGTTTTACAGGAAGGAAACTAGGTAGTTAAGCATGTTTATCTGAAGGTGTTAACCATTAATCCACCAAAGGAGTACAAGTACGCAGTTTTTCCACCTAATTTAAACTCCTCTCACACTTCTCAGAAGGAACACACACATCACTTGGAGAAGGTAAGGCACAAAAGCTTTTGTTTAAAATAGGATAATAATGTAATACATGTTGCTGGTTAACTCATGTTTTGCCACTGTAATCTGTGTCATCTTGTTGTTGTTGTTGTTGTTGTTGTTGAGCTACAGTTTATATAGAGTGTGTTTTACTACTTTAGAGGCTTGAATTTAAATAATTTGATTATAAAGGGCATTACTGTTACACTGCACCATAGCCTGTTATTTGGTATTGCTAGAAAAGCTGCTTATTTGGAGCTTTCCAATAAGATGATATCATTTTTACATCCAACTTGATTTTAAGCTTTTCTCCAATCAAACATGGCTTTATTGGTCTTCTGTACGCTGTGAAAGTGGGGGCTCAGATGATGCTTTAAACGACTTTATACGTGGTTATGTATTTAAATGCAGGCTGTTACACAAGTAAAAACTGTGTGTATGAAAGATAACCATGGTTGTGAATCAGTAACAAGACAGAAATTGTGTTGATTGTTGGGCTGAGGCCATGTGGTACGAAACACTGAAAATGCTACATCTACAGGACTCATGGCTGACAGAGAAACTACGACAATGCTCATCATTGCTCTCATAGTAAGATATCATTTTATTTTTATCATGAAATTAATGTTCACTTTAATACCTTGTTCTCTCACTAAATTAAGTTACTGTTTGAGCAAGTTTACTAAGACACACAAAATATCTTGTTTTGTAGTTGGTGATCATTTACACATTTGCACCGTGCTCTGGAGCAAATGTTAAAATTGGTGTCCCTGAAAACTACGATGGTATTTTCCCATGGTATCTGGCCAAGGTAAGAAATGTACACTTGCTTAAATTCACCTAAAGGTTTCTCCTTGTGTTCACAGCCTTCTGAAAAGCGAATACATGTGTGATTCTGAACAATGGTGTTTACTACATGAAAATTCAGCCAGTGTGTTTAGTTCTTATGGTAATTTTCATGAGCATACTAATTTGAAATGCAAGTCGACAGCAACTCAAAGCCTAGTTCCTTGATACGATGTTGGATAAAAAACAACTGTTTTTAAGAGTGATCATTGAATATTTAATCAGAGTTAATGCACTGTCAAATGTCCTCAACATTTAATGCATTTCCTTCAGATTAAAGAAGGTTAATAACAAATCTCCTGCCAGTTGTTCAAGCCTGCTCTTCTCATAATGGTGAGAAATATGGGCGAAAAGACCATACTTGATAGGAAGAAAATGAAGGTATATTAAACCAGAATTGCGTCAGTCTCTCAATTCTCTCCTTTCTGCACTTGCTGCAAGGTTTAGGACGTATGAACATGCTTGCCGTCATCACTAGACTATTATTGGAGTGTTCACAATGACCCAGCCTCTGCATTCAATCCAGCTGCAGGCGGGAGGTTTTGTTCAAACATGTCACTCATCATCCCATGGATTGTGCTGCAGCATGAGTATCTGCCACTTTGATTGCTTTTATTGTACGCCATCACATCTTGTGTGAAGCATTGTCATAATTTCTGTTTTTTGTGTCGGACTCAGTGTCATTAACACTTTTTAAATAGCATGTTAATGGCCAGAATGGAAGAGTTGGATAATAACTACTTTGGTTTTTAAATGGAAGGGACATAGTAATTGCTTCTGATTAGTTCAAGGAAAAAGCTCTTTGTGATAGATGGTTCATAAGAGATGACTACAATTATCAGGTTTTCTTTTATTTACTTTGAATAATACATTTTCAAAATTGTAAAGAGGAAGTTGTGGGGAATATTTTTAGCAGTTGATTTACACACAATGAATGTACCTGCACGTTTTTAAAGTAGCAGGATAGTGTATGTGGAATAAACGAGTGGCCGTTTTTTATTATAATGAGGGTCACCCACTGAATGGTGTGGCTCACTAATTAATTTAAGAATTATCATACTGTTATACTCTCTATGCACCGGAGAAATACACTAGTTTGATCAACTGATTGTTGCTTTGAAACAGGAACACAGGCTGATGATTTTCTTAAATGGTGTTCTGTTCTGTTCAGCTTCGTAACCTGCCAGGAAATTACACAGAGCTGACGGTAACGGGGGATGATGAGGGGATATTCGGAGTGGACGCTCAGTTTCTGTACGCTCTAAAACCACTGGACAGAGAGAAACAGCCGTCATACTCTCTGCAGGTAATATTACTATGTGCCATATTGTGATATGAATTTACTATACATGTCTAAGCTAATGAATAGTTACTAATGACGTCATTCAAGATGCTTATAATTGATTTAACAAGTATATTTTTGTAAGGTGTTTGTGCTTATGTTCAATAATGAATCCTTTTTAGATTGTTAGTTTCTCAAGGCTGTATGTTAGCTCTTGAGTGTGTTATTTAAAGACACCTACAGAATGTGTTTGTGTGTATGATGCAGGTGTCCTTCAGAACATCAGAGCACCGTCAGAGCTTCACCGTTGAAGTGTGTGTCATCGATAAGAACGACAATGTGCCCATTTTCATAGGGGAGAGCATGAGAGGCAGTGTGCAGCTCGGGCTTCTCAAAGGTACAAAATCCTTGAGCTGTGTGAAACAACCTTTTTCAGTCTGGCTCACCTTTGTCAGTGCTGTTTCATGGAATACAAAAAACCTTTTAATAAACTGTGAAAAAATACCTGATGTATCGGCATCATACACGTAACCTCTGTATTTATAGAACCAATGACGTGTCTTACTGGATCAGGTACATTTAGATTACAGTAAAAAAGACTCTTCTGCAAACTTTCACAAGGTTTAATAATCACATTGTCAAGTAGAAAACTGTATTTTATATGAAATAATAAATGTTCTATGTTCTTGGAAGAAAAGTACCCTAACCCTCAACATCAAAGTCATTGATAGATCATTCTTTAGACAACAATTAAATCGTAATAGCTACTTAGCTTTAAAAATGTAATTGTTGAAACACATAACAGTATAAAACCAGATCTCAAACCACCATGTGAAAAAGTGGATCGTAAAAAAAAAAAAACTTGTATCATCATGTTTTTTATAGGCAAATCAGGTATTGTATAGCTGTGTCATCTCTTAAATTGGGTCCCAATTTAACTTTACATACAAAACCAAAAAGAAACTACATATGGATTTGTGCTTCCTGAATGGAGGTTTTATCCTTTTCTGTGAATTAAGGGACTTTATATGCTTTGAGTTTGCTGTGGATGTTGATGTCTGTGAAACAGAAGGTAGCATGTTTGACTCTGCACCACTGTGTCTCTCAGGGATTCCGTTCATGCAGGTGGATGCACGGGATCGTGATGACCGCAACACCGCCCACGCTGAGCTGCGCTTCAGCCTCATGGAGCAGACGCCCAGGATTCCCTCCAGCCAAATGTTTTTCATCAGCTCCATCACTGGAGAGGTTTCCCTCACAGAGGAAGGTCAGTCCCAACTTGACTGCAACGAAATATACAGTATATACTGTATAGCAAATAAGTAACAAAACATTTAATTACATATTTACGGAAGAGGATTAGGGCCACATAAAAAAATGTTTTGTGAGGATTTGAAAAAAAAAAAAAAAATTTTGTTCTGAGAAAAAAGTCAGAATTCTGACTTTAATCTCAGAATTCTGACTTTAATCTCAGAATTCTGACTTTTTTCTCAGAACAAAAAAACATTTTTTTTTTGGGAGAAAAAAGTCAGAATTCTGACTTTAATCTCAGAATTCTGACTTTAATCTCAGAATTCTGACTTTTTTCTCAGAACAAAAAAACATTTTTTTTTTGGGAGAAAAAAGTCAGAATTCTGACTTTAATCTCACAATTCTGACTTTTTTCTCAGAACAAAAAAACATTTTTTTTTTGGGAGAAAAAAAATCAGAATTCTGACTTTAATCTCAGAATTCTGACTTTAATCTCAGAATTCTGACTTTTTACTCAGAAATACCGGTAACTGTAGAACCAGCTTCACTGCGATTTACACATTGCAGTAGGCAACAATGGAGGACGTGAGTGCATTTCTGCGCGCCAGAGGGGTCCAAGAGGAAACCATAATAAGTCATTTTACAACCATCTGCAATGTGTAAATCGCAGTGAAGCTGGTTCTACAGTTACCGGTATTTCTGACTTTTTTCTCCCAAATAAAATGTTTTTTTTTTGTTCTGAGAAAAAAGTCAGAATTCTGACTTTAATCTCAGAATTCTGACTTTAATCTCAGAATTCTGAGATTAAAGTCAGAATTCTGACTTTTTTTCTCCCAAAAAAAACATTTTTTTTTTGTTCTGATAAAAAAGTCAGAATTCTGAGATAAAAGTCAGAATTCTGAGATTAAAGTCAGAATTCTGACTTTTTTTTTTTTTCAAATCCTCACAATTTTTTTTTTTATGTGGCCCTAATCCTCTTCCGTACATATTCATTCAAGTTTGGAATGATTGTTGCCTTTTTTCTACCAGAGAGCAATGACAAGTTTACAGCATGTTATTTTTAAAATAACATGCTGTACCACATTCAAAACAAATGTGAATTTCAGCTGATGTATTTGTTACTAGATTTCCTAAAATCTCAAATATTGTTATTTGTATTTGCCTCAGAAATCGAGCATTGAACCCTTTTTTTCAAAAAAGGTAGACCTCAGGTCTTGTTCATTTTAACCTAGTTATGCAGAAATATGATCAAAAGAAGAGAACAACCCAAAACAAGCTTCACTGATAATCTCATAAAAGCCAACCATGAGTAGTTCATCTTTAATCTTGTTCAGATTTCCGTACAGTAAATGAAAAATAATAACACTTTTTTTAGGCAAACAGACATGTTGAATACTGTTATGCTGTGTTCGTTATTCTCGCGTCCAGGAGAGAAGCTTTAAAAGGAGAGTAAATGGAGTCTCTGAGAAGGTTCAAATGGTTACTTTAATTAAAAATATGGCGCGGTAAAGTTACAAACAGGATATTGTTCAGTCCGAAAAACAGCTGTGTTCTGGCTCTCGTGAGCGAAGGAAAGAGAGCCCGAACCCCTCTGGTCTAGCTTTTATATATCCTCTGCTGGCTCCTCCCTGCGGGCCGGCTCTCCACGTTTTAATGTCCGTTGTTACGTTAAACAGAGGATTCAGACATTGTACATTCAATATATACTTAAACACGCCTCTTCTCCTCATATTCTCTTTCATCACTTTTCCTTTAACACATTCTAAACGCTGTAATCAATACTCTAAAAAATACAGAAATTACTTCACGGCTGGTTTGGTTTCCGGTCGTTCCGGATGTTGTCACATGCTACCCACATCTGTAAACAATAACGTATTCAAATAAACTGTACCTTCATTTAATATTCAACAATAATAATATCTCGACGTCTATAGTTGTAGTGTTGAAATCAGTAGGTTTCGGTGTGCAACACTCCGTGTCATATCGCTACTAAATTCACCTCTATAGTAAATGGTATATTAGCCACTTGCTAAATGCTAACCGGAGATGAAGGATTTTCAGAATAAAAGCTTAACAACTGGTTGTGCACAAGAACTTCTGGTTTTTCAGTATAAAACAGCATTTAAACTGACGGTATATTTAAGGTACTTTATGCCATTAAAAACATTGATTTTAATTTCTAACAATACATACATACTGAAATTATCCTCAAAGTGCTGTAATCTGGAGCTATTTATGTAGCTCCCGTTTTGCCCTTTGTTCCGGCTTGGCAGGAGCTGGATGACTTTCACACTTGTCCTTTCCGGCCCACACGGCTGCTGAGTTTTCACAGAGCTCGAGCAGTGAAAAATTGAAAATGATCTCTTTGATTTCCGACTGGTCTTCCAGGCCAGCCGTAAATGATGGTTATGATTACCTTCAAAGTGGGTTGTTTCCGGTAGTTATTTTCCATTTTTGCTGGAAATTGAAAATAAAGTGATGAATAGAGCCCTCATGTTCATTTTAAATATAGAAGGCAATGTGAGTCTCTGTAATATAATGGAAAGGTTTGCATAAACCAATCATAGTGTATCTATATTTTTCTTTTTTGTGACTCTTTAAACTAGTTTTTCCTTTGGTTCCTCATATTATTTACACAAACACAGTATCATGACATTAAACAGGGCACAATATACTGTATACAGCAGATGCCTTTGTAATCAGGTTTATTTAGAAGTGAAAGTAAACATGCAACCATGGTTATTTATCATGCACACAAACATTGAAACATACATACTATACAAACTTCATGTATGCATACCCACGGACATAAAGGGAATTTAAAGAATCTGACTATATAGAGCACTTAATTCATCTGATGTATATTGTTAGTAATGACATCAACGTTTTTATTGGCTCACCAGACAAATTAGCCTTTGATAGAAACCCTACATGCAACATTAACACATAAATAAATACTCACATTGTATCATGTAATCCACTGTGACTGCCAGGAGCCTCTACTCTGGACCCTGAGATGTGCGGCCGTTACAAACTCTTGGTGATGGTGAAGGACATGGCTGGGAAGACGAATGCTTTCTTCACCAACGGGATCGTTACGGTGGAGGTGACGGGAAACACTTGGGCCTCGCCCGACCCGGTACGACTTCAGGAGAACCTCCCGGGCCCCTACCCCATCCCCATCTCACAGGTGAGGCCGCAGAGACATGACCAACATGTGTTCACTCTGAAACACTAATCCACCACTTTGACACGTAAAGTGTTTTACCCATCCACATTCGTCTACATTAAAACCACTTTTACTTATTTGATCTTGTCCACGCTTCATGCAAACAACTTGGTGTGTTAAAGTGCTGACTTTATTGTTTTTGCAGGTCCAAGTGTTGTATCGTATTACCATAAAACATACTTTGTCAATAGCCTGGGCCCAGTAAAGTGGCATCGTATTGCCAGTTGCTGTTTTTAGTGGCTCATTGGTCCTCCTAAGTGACCAAACACTGAATTATTGATGCTGTTCAAATGCCATGGATCCTTTCAGCCTAGCTCCTGACCGAGTCCCTTTAACTCCCATAATTACTCACGCTCCCACCCACCACCACTCTGAGGGGTATTCTACAAACCTAACAGCTTAAAGGCAAAATTCACCCTATAAATAGACTTCACATAATCATAATTAACAGGTCAGTATAAATATGTTAGTATTTAATGTAATCTAGAGACACATTTGACACCTGATAAAAGCCATTCAATGGGCTTATAACAGCCAAAAAAGGTAATGTAAAATATCTTGAAATCTGCTTAAACTAAATGATTGACCATAAACAACAATGAATAAATAAGCAGCTTTTTTAAATCATCAATCAACAATTTAAGTCATTTCCCAACGTTCTGGTTCCAGCCTGTCAGTTGTGACACCTTGCTCCTTTTGCTAAATCATTCACATCACTTTAAAGTTGACATCTTTGCACTTTGAGGTACTAATAAGTTGAAACAAGCCATATTACGGCATCATTACGTTATTACTTTCTTGCGATGTATAGAGCAGATTAATCATTGAGAGTAATTTGCCAGATATTTGATTATGACAATGGTTGTTAATTGCAGCCTTACTTGCCAATGAAGGTTGTTAAGAGTACACGTTTTGATACTGAATAATAGAAAAGCTACAAGAGTAACCATGGTGATTTCACAAAGGCCCATTGTCAGATCAAAAGACGGAAATCCTGTTCTCAAGTAACATTTTGATGTAGTCACTACTGAAAAACACATTCTTAAGCCCACTCACTATTTCATTGTGGAATGACAAACATCTATATTTCAATCAGTGTTCTAATTTCATCTTAAAGGAGATGTTTAATTCATATTCAAGTTTCCACATTACTGCAGCACCATAATATACATTCTGTTTAAAGATTTCCCTCAGGTTTTCCTAACATATGTCAGTCCCTGGTCTTGTCTGACCTTTTGTATTTTTATAAAATAAGCCATATCAGCTACATGTCTATAAATAACCCAAAAGCCCTCAGTGTTTTGTGACACGTGTAGAAAACAAATGGCTCACAGTGGCCGTTACCCTTTGTGAGGACACAAAATAAACTTCATTCATTCACTACAGAGAACTGTGGAAACAAAGAGGATTGTAAGAGCTGAATGTGATGCTAAATTAAAAGCATTGTGTCGGTTTTGAAAGTCGCTTTGGGCAGTACAGTAGGTATATCACATACCTCCCCCTCCTCCTGTTTTCTCCCACCTCCCCCACACTCGCCCTCAGCCTCTCATCTCTCCTGTTTGAACAGCCCCTTCCACCCACTGAAAACGTGTGGATTCACACGTGTGGGCACATTTGATTTGTTTCGTTTTCTGTCATAGTTTTCAAAGAACAGTTTTAATCGACAATATCATATTTCGGTCTCAACGGTTTAATATCTAACAAATATCCTAGCACACAGCTTGGTGACTTCGAATAATCCTTTTTTTTTTATCATTTATATGTCTTCAAATAGCATCTGTCTGTCTTTATGTAAATTAGTTTATGTGAACATATTTAACTGAGCAGGTTCCCTTACTGTATCCACTTACATTTCTAATGAAAAATGTGTTAAGAGAGTGAGAAATACATCCTCGTTTCTTCCATTACTCATACATGAAAACCGTTTAGTTACATCCTGAATAAATCACTAAACTGGATTAGTTAAACAGGGATGTTTACTAGGGGGAAGCCACATCCCGCCCCCGCTGAGTGATCGTCCTGCGGTGCTCAGTAGGAGGTAGGACTAACCGCTGTTGTGACACACACACAGACATAGTCATGTTCAAGGGCCCACTCTATGGACCCCCCCCCCCCCCCCCCCTGATTGTGTCAGATAAATGGAGCAGTCATATTCTGCAACAAATGTTGTCTTTTTCTTGCTGTTTCATCGTCCATGGTGTGGCGACAGATGCTTAAAGAAAATCTGATGCGTAGCTTCATGTTTCTCTGCCATCATCTCTTTCTGTGTGAACTACAGCCATACAATGTTGTTGAGATTGATGTTGCGATCAATTTCACCCATTCTGCAATCAAATCAAATTAGGCTGTAGCTAATTTTAAATATTAAATCCAGACATCTGTTATCTGTACTTTTACGTCACGGGGGCTATTGAGGTTAATTGAAATCTGCTATCTATTTCATATTACTGATTGCCTGCCTAAAACTTTGACTATTTAATCCAATCAGCAGGACTACTTCAACTCAGTAATGTAATCTATTGAGACTTTGGAGTGGAGGAGAGCCTGTGAATGAATGAGTTAAGCACAATTGACAGTTTTCACAGTCAAATCAAATCTGATTTTTTTGTTGCAGAATTGGTTTGAGCCCCACTAGACCTTTGTCATGGCCCCATATCAGTGTTAAAAATGTAAAATATACTTCAATGTGTTGCTTCAGCTAAAATAAGTCATTAAAAGGGATCACATTTTTTCTTTTAATAACACCAAAGTCTAAGGTTCTATGATCAAATGTTAATGTTAACCTTTGATCAACACACGTTTTTATATTGCTCCATATCTGCTGTTGTGTAAAAAATAAAATGCAAATGTATTCGCTATCTTAATTTAAGGTATTAATAAGGTAATAATAGGTCACTGTTTTGTTAACAACTTGTTTATGCTGCCCTCAAGAGGACAACAAAAACAGTGTTTGCTTTTAACCACAGACAACTCTTTCTTTCTGTCTCAATAATGCTTTTGTCCTGACCTCCAGCCAACGTTAACGTTCACTGTTATTATTGGTGATCTTACAAGCGTCAAAATGCCTCTGTTCCCTCCAAGAAATTCAGTATTTATCATGTCAGTATTTCACATCATATTTAGTGATGTTCTCAAGCTAGTAGAGTAAGTCTTACAAAAACCTTTATAATTTTTCAGTCTATGGTATCATATTGCAATTGATATTTAGAATTAAATTATAAACGACATATAAAGGCAGCAAAGCCTTACATTTGAGAGGCTGCAAATGTTTTGATTTAAACTATTATCAAAACAGTTGCAGATTTCAATTTGTTTACATCTACAAAATATTCCAGCTGTGATATTTTAGTATTTCCTGATATTGTGTTTAATGCAGGACATTGCATAATTTGCTGTTCTTCAGCAGCTGATAACTCCTGTTATAGAAGAACACACGCAGACAAGAGGCGCTCTTGACGCAGCTCAACAATCGGGGGAGACAGAACGTGCTCTGCAAACTCAAGCACTGGCGGAGGCAAAACAGATGACTTCATAGATGTTTTGTTCAGATCTTATACAGAGCAGTCACTGATCATTAATCAGTTCTTTAAACATATCTCTTCAAAGTTCTGAGCTCTAGAAACACACCATAACAGCGAGAGGCAGCCAGCTGTGTGAATCGTCTTTATGTATACAGAAGCACAGTGTTTGGGCAGCTATCTCCAAAACAAGGGAGGAGTGTGTGACAGGGAGTTGAGGAGATACACATGCCCTGGGTGTGCATCAGCTGTGCTGGGACCGGGCCCCTCTCCTTCTTGGGTGCTGTCTGATGGCTACCAGGGCCCTTTCAGCCCCGCTGCACAGCCCTCTGTCAGGGGCTGTAAAGCAGAGTGGAAAATCCCCTTCAGCGCGCATAGTTAGTTTTGGCTGTGCTCTCTGTTCCACATCATTGTCAGTGCATTTGGTTGGCTCCTTATCGTGTAAACAAATGTAGCTTAGCTTTGTACTTATACATCATGCAGGCCTGAATAGCTTTTTAGGCTTATATTGCATGACACATTTCCTGTTGCACTCAAATGAAAGACAAACCCATACATTGTCATTGTTAAAACAAAATAGGCAATATAATGTTTCCAGATTTCTATATGTCAAAATGTATTGAGAGAACTTTTAGTTTAGTATGTGTGCGCCTATGTGTTTGTTTATGTAGGTCAAATGGAGTGGAAGTCAGGCAGAGTACAGTCTGGAGGGGGAGTTTCCAGAGATGCTCTTCACCATCAGCAGAGAAGGAGTCATTTATCTCAACGCCCCTCTGGACAGGGAGACACAAGACCAGGTCTGTATGAGTGCAAGCTAAACATCTCCAGCACTAATAATAAATGTCAGTTTATAATGTCAGTGTTTAAAGCGTCAAAACATTATGACTAAATGTGCTACACTGTTTCTTTAAGACAGACAGAAGCAGATCTATTGCTATGTTTGAACTATGTTATGTTGTGTTTGTTTCATTTCAGCTTTGCTTTCATTTGTATGTAAACCTTGCAATATTTTCTTGTCTTCACAAGATCCACTTTAAGTCACAAATTCACACATTATCTGTTTTTTAAGGATTCTGTGATATTCATATGGATCTTGACAGTGAATTTCATAATGCTGTAGTAGAATAACTAAATGTAGTAGTAGAAGTAATGGCCTAAAATACTGTATACAATATATGTTGTTCAGAAAAGATTTAATGTTTTCTCTCAGTTGATTTCATAAAAAGAGGGGCCTGGTACAAATTAGTCTAACAAGCACTGAGCAGAAAAGAGTAGAAATAAATGAAACTACCCAAAACCATACAATCAAAGCTATGTTCCTTCCTCCCTTATTTTGTCATGAAAACAAATATAAAACTGTATATATATAAAACACTTTATTTAATATCTTCTTAACTTTAATTTTCTGCAAATAAAATCATCATTTTTTTCATTTGCTCATGAAAGATTTACATGGCACACTTGACAGTATATTTTGGCCCAAATGCTCAAGTGGCCAATTACCAACCACATCACTGGATGTAAAACGTGTTTAAAAACGTGTTATAAATTTGCATCATAAGTATTCTGTAGTGTTACTTAATAGAAAGGTGCGGAAAACCTCATCTTTTTCATGATTGATCATCTGTAGACATGTTGAAGAGTCACTAAAAGCCAAACTTCTCTTTTCTGAATACAGCTCCATCAGTCTGTATCGTGATGGTGCACTTCTGATGGATTCTTTTCACAGTGTCGGTTTTGTGCTCCCACCTGCCCTAGTTGCAGAATGATGAATGTAGAGATGCACGTTTTTCTCTTTTCAATCCATCTATTTTATTTACCAGCTTTACCCCTTTTGCAGGATCCTAATCGCTCCTGCAGTAGGCCTACAATTGGAAGCATCCTTCATCGTTCTACTGCAGGGCCACTTTATCTTTTTCTCTACCTACTGCAGAGACAAACAATGTGTTTCTCTTTTTGTCCGGTCAGTTCCAGATCAGCATCGTGGTTGAGCGTCCAGATGGCAGAGAGATTGCAAAGCCTGTGGAGTTGAGGGTGATGGTGGGCGACGCCAATGATAACAGACCCACTTTTCCACAGGCACAGTACCACACTGTGGTCAAGGAACTGGCTGCTCGAGGTAATTGACAGCCTATATTATATATATTTTGTATTATATATATTTTAGATATTAAAAAAAAAAAAAAAAAAAAAATACTACAGATAAACTATATTTACTCAAAAACCTCAACCCTAGCAGTTCTCTCATAAAACCTTCGGACAATTAGATGTCAAGTCTGAATGACGTAAAGCCCCTCAAGGGAATGTCCAAAATATTTAAGGGTTGGAGAGCATGTTTTTTTCCCTTTAAATAATTGTTTTCTAAATTGTTGATGAGATCATTTTAAAACAATGCTACAGTATGAGACACTTAAAAAAAATCTTTAATCTATATTGGGAGTAATTATTCATAGCAAGGTAGAGGGAACATTGGGTTGAAGGGACTTTGCTGTGATAAAGATGTGAGAGGGCCAGATAGATTTTATGAGAGCAGTTTGGGATTTTTGCCAGGAAAGGCACCCGGGGGAAAGCACCCTCACTCACCCCGGTGATGCTTTAAAACACTTGATTCTTGGAAATTAATTATCAAGGACAATCTGTTATACCTAACCTGATGTAATTACTGTGTGAGGATTAATTGAGCAAGCTATTGTTTTATCCTTCCTCGCCCTTATTCTCACTCACTGCTCTCTGTGACTGGATTTCTTGGCAGAGGGATATACATTTTTTGTTCTTGGGTTTCAAATAATTCACACTGTATTTTTTCCCAGGGACAGAGATCCTGACAGTGCAGGCAGCCGATAATGACGATCCCAAGACGGATAACGTGCGGATCTTCTACCGTTTAGTCGGACAAATTCCAGAGAGTCCTCGAGCCCTCTTCAGAGTGGACCGTGACTCGGGGGTCATCTCTGTGCAGGCAGACAGTATGGAGGGCACAGCCCCTCAGTACACCCTCACCATCACTGCTGAGGATGCCAAAGGTGACTTTAGATTGATCCAAAAATGCAGCCTTCCTCATGTTGGGATTTTTCGTTTAACAACCCTGCTAAGTCTCACAAAATAGGGAACACGCCCTTTTAAATTTGACTTGCCTTTTACATTTTATTTGCTGGGATTTCCCCTTGGCAGAGGTCTGTGTCTCTGATAACTTCTACTTTTTATTGATTTCTAGGAAAAAAGGCATTCGACTTTCTATTGAAAAATACAATCTATTAAGAAACACATTACGTAATGGACATAAAGTTGGATAGATTACAATATAGATTAAACTTGCATACATAGTATTTTTAAATGCTAAAATGCTAAAATATTCTTTATTTGTTGTTCTAACTTTATTATCTAGTTTGCCCAATACAAATAAAAAAATAAAACCATTTTATTTATTCAACAAAGCAAACAAAAATGGTTGAAAGGTACAATACCCTATTTCTCCTATTTCCTCCTACTGTGCTTGTATTGCGTAGACAAATATAGACATGTGCTCTTAACAGGTGCATTAGTTGTGCTTTGGTTATTCTCTCTCAAAACAAATGAGAAAATCTAATTTGTAGAAGAGAGCTACATTTAATATTTCCGTATGAATTTAGTGCATTCCTTAAAAAGACTTTGCAAGGCCAAGTTTCCAATCACCATCCCTGTTATTCAAGTCGCAATTGCAGACTGCACAGCCAATCACAATTTCATCCAAATGTCAGTCAAAATAAAGAAATAGTTTTCAATAAAACTGCAAACTCAACAATCAAGGTGGGACAAGAGAGAAAAGAAAGCAGTGATAAAGAACCAAATTAAAAAGCCTTTACTGTACCGGAGGGTAACATAATGTATAACTATTTACCAGTGCATGTACATTGTGCTCTGGGGTGACGGATAATGTGGTCTGCATTACTCATGATTGTTGTGATGGAGGCAGGATGGAGGAAGGATGATGTTCTTGCTGTTCCTTCACTATGTTATTTGCATGATGGGCTGACCCTGAGTCACTAACAGAAGCTGTGATGATTTCCCTGGCAGGTCTTAACAGTTCGTGCACTTTGGTGGTGACGGTACAGGATGAGAACAACAACCCACCAGTCTTCTCCCAACATGAGGTACGAGCACATGTTTACACCTGTTTACACACACTAAAGCAACTGTGTTCTCAGGTCATGATGAATAATACTTTTTGATGAAAAGGCAGGCCAAACATCACAGGCCATCGTAAGTGGCTGTTAGACTGCAGACTCTTAATCTGCTCTGCAGGTCACTGATCTAATTTTCCTGGCGGGAAACTAGATATGCTCTCTAATCTTAGGCTTATAGCGATGGCCCCATGTTATTGATGGGAGTTTTATTCAGTTCTTTGTACTCAAAGTGGACTGTGTTCTCGGAGTTTAATCTGGGAAAGCTTTCTTTGGCGAGTACTTTCCACTTTTTTATTTATAGTCTAATAAATTAAATGGATAGACATGGAATGTATGTCCTCACAGCTATTCAAATCACATAAATGTCTGCATCAGCTGTTCTTTTATAAGAGCCCCCTTACTGGATATAATGTACACAAGAGAGTTAAAGTGGCGCTCCTTCTAAAATATATTTATACAAATTCTGCACGCTTTAAAGGTGGCTGTATACAAGTAACTTTTAGTGTTTAAGATGAAATGAGAAAGGGGTTTCCTTTATTTTGTTGCAGCTGCATGGTCTGAAAAAAGAGTTCTAAACAAAGGCGGTTACAAGAAATCCCTTCACTTTTCACCCATGTGCATCATAACAGAAGAGAAAGGAGTTTTCTGAGTTGGGAGTTACGTGGGAGACCCATCATGCTGTGATAATAGGGAACCATCCTCTGGCTGTATTCTCTGTCAGGCCACTGAATAGGCTGCACAGACATTATTAGTTGTGAAGGAACATTTTATTTTGAGCAGGGAAGGAAGTGGCTGTCTTTAAATGTATCAGCGGAAATTGTCTGTAGAGCTTTGGCTTGAATAACCAGGCCAATAACAGGAGAAACATTGAATACAGATGTGGATAAACGATTGTGCCATATCACTTTTATAACATCTGTTGTTATGGTGAACTCTTTATGTCCTTACTCTATCCAATTAGCACTTAAGTATCTTAACCAAACGTTTTTCAAGCGTTGCTGAAAGCTCATTTTCCTGCCATGAGCACTTGATCATATAATGGCCACACACACACACACACACACACACACACACACACACACACACACACACACACACACACACACACACACACACACACACACACACACACACACACACACACACACACACACACACACACACACACACACACACACACACACACACACACACACACACACACACACACACACACACACACACACACACACACACACACACACACACACACACACACACACACACACACACACACAGGAAAATGCTCTTGGGCAGGTCACGCCTGAGAAGAGCAGCTTTTTCCGTGGCGATGGGGAGGCAGCACTGTGGGGGAATGTGGGAGGTGAGTGGTGACAGGGCTGGGGTCAGCGACCCTGTGAATGGGGCAGCTAGATCAGAGGCAAGGCTGCTTCACTAGAGGACATCTGAGAGAGCTGATTGTATGGCTGTCTGAACACACAGAGGTGTGTGAATAAAGGTTAGCTAACACTAAGAGGGCAAGAAGGAGCAAACATACACTCACATGTATACACACAGACTGTCACAACAGCGGGAGAATTGAAAAGTGGACAGTCAGCCAGATGTTCAACTGCAAGAACAGCTGCTATGATATACATATTGAATTAATTTTGATTCATATTTAGTTCAGCTGTTAATGCAGAGCCATTTGAAAATATAGTGTATTGGTCAGCTTTACATGACCCTGCCTCCAGGATATATCTTAGGAATGTTTTTACATTTGAGAGACTTTTGCTAAATATGTGTGTATGTAAAATATAATCTTCTATTCTCTCATTATAAATTATTTGATTAACAAATCATAATCACTAGTGTGCCTAAATTCCAGTATTGGTCAGTCACTTTAAGAATACAGTCATGTTTTAAAGATAGATTATTACAAAAAAAATCAAACTGCGGTATTATAAATTGTGATAATAGCAGAATGCCATTTTTCTTAAGAAAAATGTTCTAATACACAATACAAAAATCACCACAAACTACTTGTTGCACTTTTTGAGGGGGGAAGTTTTACTTGAGCTAAAATATGAGAAGAGAATTTCTAAAAAGGTTACATTTTATTATAATTGATTACTATTGTATACATTTGCACCCTAAGGGCATTTCTAGAGGAGTGTCTCATATGAATGATTGCTGCTGGGTAATGTAATTTTTCCATCTCCTTTCCATCAGTATGGGCCCTTCCACATCCCAGAGGACGCTCTGGTGGGCACCACAGTAACAGCTGTGCTGGCCGGGGATGCAGATGTTCGAGGAGGAGACAGCTGGCAGGTGGACTACCGTTTAGAGTCCGGTAATGAGGAGGAGGTCTTTACATTTGTGACAGACAAGCAGACCAATGAAGTCTCACTGATCCTTTCAAAGGTAAACAACACACATCATGCTGTGACCTTGTAACACCATTTGAGGGCAATATTGATAACTGTCCTCATACAAAGAGTTCTCTAATCTCCAAATTAAACTGATGTGGTTTTTGTCTTTATCTTGTATATATTGTATGTATGAGGGAGTGCACACACATTTCTCCTTTCAGAAACACATTGAAATGTCAAGGACAACGTTTGGCGTGATGGCTTGTGCAGTGATGAAATAGCAGTCATATATAGATCATAGCAGTTTTTTAAGAACAAGGATTTAATATCAAAGTTTGTCCATGTGGCACTTACAGAACGTTTGGATGAAAAATATTCTAATACTTCCGTCTGACATGCCTTAATTAAAAAGAGTCCAGATGACAGTCATATTTTAGCCCAATAATCTCTGCTGGTGGTCTGCTCTCAGTAAGTGGGCCAGGCAGGAGCCAGTCAATTATTTTCAACCTCTCAGTGGGAGAGACAAATGTGATTGAACTGTGAGCGGCAGACGCTCTGCTGAGATAAAACAGGAGATGTCTAAAAGCTAAAAATGGATGATGTATATCTTGAGATTCGAACACAAGGACAGTTGTTTTTAGAGAAATTGATCAATTCTGTCTGTTTGAGTTTGTGTTTAAAGCTATTGTATTGATCTTGTTACATATCATTGTAACTAGCTTTGTGTCGAGGGATACTGTTGTTTAATTAGCTGTCTTTAACAACATATAGCTTAAATTGTTCACTTGTAAAGCTCCAATGGATTAAATTGCACTTGAAAAAAAATCTTTAACTCATTGTGTTACAATGTGAGGTCAGCGCCAGAGGGCAGATCTATTCATTATTTGAAAATAACACTGTTCACAGCCCATGTAAATAATTAGATTGTGTGAGCAGACACTAATAGCAGTTTACCACACAGGCTAGAAGCTGCCGTTTGTCTTAAATATATAATGAACCAAGGGATGGGAGAGGAATCAAATTAAGAGGAGGAGAACAAGAAATACTAGACATTACATTGAAATAACCACCCTTTATATAACAAAAAAAACAAGATCAAATATAGTTTGAAGTTAACTAGAGCTTTTTATTGCAGTTCAGTTAATCGTGGTAATCATGTAACGTTAATTAATTTAAAGTTAACACCAAAACAATCCTTAAAGTAAGTAAGTAAGTAAGTAAAGTGTATTTCTAAAGCGCTTTTCACAGAAAAAGTGCTTGACAAAACAATAAGACATCCATATAGTACAATGATCAATGAACCCACATGTTAAGAAGTCATTAAAGCACCAGAGCATAATTTAAGACACAATAAAAACACAATAAAACAAAACTTACAAATGAAATTTAAAACAAACAAAAATAAAAACATAGTATTAAATAGAATAAGATCAAGCACACCGGTTACCCAAACAGGAATGTCTTTAAAATAGTTTTAAAAGAGTCAACAGACTCAACAACATTGACAACTCGACAACAGAGCAGGCAGAGCATTCCATAATTTAGGAGCCACTGCTGCGAACGCTCGATCACTGCGGGTCTTAAGGTGGGTACGTGGGACAGACAGTACATTTTGCCTGTGAGACCTGAGTGGGCGGGCTGATGTATAAGGGTGAATTAAGTCCGCCACATAAGCAGGAGTCTGACCGTGCAAAGCTCTGTAGGTGAGAGTGAGGATTTTGAACTTACCTATAAACTACAGGGAGCCAGTGAAGGGATCTGAGTATCGGGGTAATGTGGGACCATTTGTTTGACCGGGAGAGAAGTCTTGCAGCTGCATTCTGGACTGACTGCAGACGACCAAGGGCAGACAAGGTGAGAGAGGAGAACAACGCGTTGCAGTAATCAATGCGAGATGAAATAAATGCATGGATAATAATTTCTAGGTCGGGTGTTGAAACTACAGATCTCAGTTTGCTAATATTTCGTAGGTGGAAGAAACATGATCTCGTCAGTTGCTTAACATGGGTATCAAACGTTGCGGATTGGTCAAATATTACCCTTAAGTTGCGTAGTTTGGAGTTGGCAGCAGAGGAATAAGGTCCAAGACTTTTCAGAATCAAGGGCGTAATCATTTCTGGTGCAACAACCAGAACCTCCGTCTTATCAGCATTGAGTTGTAAGAAGTTATCTGCCGTCCAGTCCTTAATGGCGCTAGGACATTCTAAGAGTCTTGATATCCTAAAAGCCTCACTGTTACGGTGTGTGTAGGAAGCAGGACCCAAATGCAGATTAAAGTGACAAAAAACTCCTTTATTTCAAGGCTATACTATTAAATAAAGACTAAACAGAACACTCACCGAGGAACACGCCATATCACAAGACGAACCGACAAAGACAGAAAAACCAGAACTTAAATACACACAAGACTAACCATACAAACAAGACACAGGTGAGGAGGGAGGAGAAAACACAGGGACACCAGGTGAACACAATCGGGTAAATTAGACACACCAGAGAAACTAACGACAGGGAACCACAGACAGATCTAAACAAGACAAAACACAACGCAGACAGAAAACCAAAGACAGATCTAGACAAGACAAAACACAACACAGACAGATCGTGACATTACCCCCCCCTCAAGGGACGGATCCCAGACGTCCCAAAACAGTCCAATAAACGTCCAAAAAACAAAACAAACAAAGTCCAGCAGGGCGGGTGGAGGTGGACCGGAGGAGGGACACAAAACTAGGGCCTCCAGGGTGGGTGGAGGGGGACCGGAGGACGGGTTTGGGCTGACAACCCAGGAGCACAGCAGAGGACCCGGAAGAGATCTCGGACGGACGGCCCGGAGGCAAGGCAGAGACCATGGAGGGGGTCTCGGGCGGACGGCCCGGGGGCAAGGCAGAGTCCATGGAGGGGTTCTCGGGCGGACGGCCCGGGGGCAAGGCAGAGTCTATGGAGGGGCGAAGGCCACAGCGGGCGAACTCAGGGGGCCGAGCATGAGGGCAAAGACAAGACAGCTCCGGAGGCCGGACAGGAAGGCGCTGACGGGACAGCTCCGGAGGCCGGGCAGGAAGGCGCTGACGGGACAGCTCCGGAGGCCAGGCAGGACCCGGTGTCGGCCGGACAGGAACCAGAGCCGGTGGGACAGACTTCGGCAGGATCCCCCACGGTAGAGGACCAGGAGTTGGCAGGACCCCCGGCGAGACAGGTAACGGCGGGACCTCCAACGGAACAAGACATGGGATTGGCAGGACTCTCAGCGGGTCCTCCAACGGAACAGGACATAGGGTTGGCAGGACCCCCGGCAGAAGAGTCGTCGGCGGGACCCCCAACGGGACAGGACACAGGGTTGGCAGGACCCCCGGCAGGAGAGTAGTCGACGGGACCTCCAACGGCACAGGACATAGGGTTGGCAGGACCCCCGGCAGAAGAGTAGACGGCGGGGCCTCCAACGGCACAGGACACAGGGTTGGCAGGACCCCCAACGGAACCACCAACGGACCAGGACATTGGGTAGGGACTCGAGAGGGAACTCGAGAGGAGACTCGAGAGGGAACTCGAGGGGGAAACTGAGAGGTGGCTTGAGAGGGAACTCGAGAGGAGACTCGAGAGGTGGCTTGAGAGGGAACTCGAGAGGAGAATCGAGAGGTGGCTTGAGAGGGAACTCGAGAGGAGACTCCAGAGGTGACTTGAGAGGGGACTGGAGAAGAAACTCGAGAGGGGACTCGAGAGGTGACTCGAGAGGGAACTCGGGAGGTGACTCGAGAGGGAACTCGGGAGGTGACTCGAGAGGGAACTCGGGAGGTGACTCGAGAGGGAACTCGAGAGGAGACTCGAGAGGTGTCTTGAAAGGGGTCTCGAGAGGGGACTTGAGAGGGAACTGGAGAGGAGACTTGAGAGATGACTCGAGAGGGAACTGGAGAGGGGACTGGAGAGGGAACTCGAGAGGGGACTTGAGAGATGACTGGAGAGGGAACTCGAGAGGGGACTCGGGTAGGAACTTGAGAGGAGACTCGAGAGGGGACCTGAGAGGGGACTCGAGAGGGGACTCGACAGGGGACCTGAGAGGGGACCTGAGAGGGGACTTGAGAGGGAACTTGAGAGGGGACTTGTGTCGGTCGGTACGCCGACAGGACACGGGGAGCTGGCGTCGGCTGGAGAGCCAACAGGAGACGAGGTGCTGGAGTCGGCCGGTACGCCGACAGGACACGGGGGGCTGGCGTCGGCCGGAGAACCAGTCCTGGAGCCGAAACTGGAGTTGGGACCATGGCTACTGGGGCCGGTACTGAAGCCGGAACCATGGCTGCTGGGGCCGGAGCCATGGCTGCTGGGGCCAGGACTGGGGATGGGACCATGGCTGTGTGGGCCGGTTCTGTAGCAGGGACCATGGCTGCATGGGCCGGTTCTGGAGCCGGAACCATGGCTGTGGGGACCGGTTCTGGAGCCGGAACCATTGCTGCTGGGCCCGGTACTGGGGCCGGAACCATGGTTGCTGGGACCAGAACCATGGCCGCTGGGGCCAGAACTGGGACCGGAATCATGGCTCTTGGGGCTCGGGCTGCTAGCCTGGACTTGCGACTCCTTCTCTTAGAAGCCGCCTGAAGGCTCCGTGGACCTCCAAAAGCCAGACGAGTTCCAGAAAACGACTCCTGGACAGGAGCAGGAACTGGGGCAGAAGCATGGGTTGACTCCAGACGGAACACACCGAGACGTTTGTAGTCAGCAGGCTGGAAATCACACACCCAGAGGAAGTTCAAAATCCAGCCAGGTAAGAATTTCACCAAGTCTGGTTTCTCCATAGCCAACCGGTGCGCCTCTACCAGAGCGGCCTCCTTCTGCAGAACACTGGACGCTCCCTTCCACCAATCATAGCAGCAAGCCAAATAAAAGGAAACATTTTGTAGTTCCACCTCAAATGGATCATCTGCTGGGTCCATTTCTAGGTCGGTTCGTACTGTTACGGTGTGTGTAGGAAGCAGGACCCAAATGCAGATTAAAGTGACAAAAAACTCCTTTATTTCAAGGCTATACTATTAAATAAAGACTAAACAGAACACTCACCGAGGAACAAGCCATATCACAAGACGAACCGACAAAGACAGACAGAAAAACCAGAACTTAAATACACACAAGACTAATCATACAAACAAGACACAGGTGAGGAAGGAGGAGAAAACACAGGGACACCAGGTGAACACAATCGGGTAAATTAGACACACCAGGGAAACTGACAGGGAACCACAGACAGATCTAAACAAGACAAAACACAACGCAGACAGAAAATCAAAGACAGATCTAGACAAGACACAACGCAGACAGAAAACCAAAGACAGATCTAGACAAGACAAAACACAACACAGACAGATCGTGACACTCACTAGGTTTGAATGAAATGTGGAGCTGGATATCATCCATATCATAAGTGATATGTAATGTTAAAACTATTTATGATCTGTCCTAAGGGTAGCAAATATAGGGAGAATAACAGAGGCCCCAAGACCGAGCCCTGCGGGACACCACAGGACAGTGGAGAGGAGTCTGACACAAAGTCTCCAATCGAGACGGTGAAACTTCTATCAGCAAGATATGATGCAAACCAGTCTAATGCTATGCCAGATATGCCCACCCAGTCATGTAACCTCTTGATCAGGATATGGTGGTCTACAGTGTCAAACGCCGAACTTAGGTCAAGAAGTACTAACACAGAGCAATCGCCCACATCAGAAGCCATCAGGATGTCGTTAGAAACCCTCAGGTGAGCCGTTTCAGTGGAGTGTTTTTTCTGAAAACCTGACTGGAACTTATCGTAAATATTGTGCCTCTCCAGTGCAGCAGTGAGTTGGTTGGCCACGACCTTCTCTAGAACTTTTGAGAGAAAGAGTAGTTTAGATATAGGCCTGTAGTTCACGGGCAAGGCTGGATCTAAGTTAGTTTTCTTTAATATGGGCTGAATAGTGGCATGCTTAAAATGGGAAGAGACACATCCTGTAGACAAGGAAGTATTAATAATAGTTGATACAGCACTGCAAATGGTTGGTAAAACTTTTAAAAATAATAGGTGGGGTAGGTAAGTTTGAGAAACCGGCTCGAGATACACTTTTTGTTATATTCCATGGAATGCTCTTAACATCCCGATAGCAATGAATATCTTAAGTGCTTTGACAAAAATCCATTAAAAAATGTCATCTGTGGAAGCCGTAGTACTGTAAAAAGCACGACCAATAATTTTAGCCGGCCCAGTTAAAATAACTGGATGGCCTACCTGCCTGTCAGCCTTCCATCTGTGCACACACTTATCTTGTGCCCTCATTGGTCATGTGCACGTTCGTGTGTGTTCCCAGCTAGAAATGTTTGGTTCTAAAAACATTCTGAGAATGTTACATTCATTGTTCTAGGAATGTTTTCAGCGGGAAGTTTTCTTTTGGTTCCCAGAACGTTCTTCTGAAAGGTAGGATAACGTTCTCTAAAAACATTCTTAAAATGTTTGGTGATAACATTGTTAGAACATTATGCCCTACTATTTTTAAAACGTTTTCAGCAGAAGCTTTTATTTTGGTTCCCAGAATGTTCTTCTGAAAGGTAGGATAATATCCTAATAACAACGAATGGTAACAAACATTTCTAGCTGGGAACTCACACATGTCACGCAAACATGCAATATCTGCTTACAGTTTATCATGAATTACGTGCATGTTTGTTTTTTTCAAAAGGAAAATATGGTGACATCAGATTTTTTTTTAAACGTCCTTTTTAAACAAATGCAACAAGTTTGTTTTTTAAAGCGCTCTAGAAATAAATCTGACGTTGACCATGATTGTGTTAATATTTGTCATAACAGGAACGTTTTATAAAAAAAGAACAACATCCTGAAAACATTTTCATAATGTTTCTTGGAGAATGTTCTTCATTTGTTCCATTGAGGGAACGTTTTATAAAGAACATCTTTAATGTGTTACCCAACAACGTCCAAAACACATCCTTAGAATGTTGCAGGCAAAACGTTCCACCTTTGTTAACATATCACATTAAAGGAACATTTTATAAAACCCTTTATGTCATCTCAGGCCTCAATAACATCCTGAAAACATCCTCTGAATGTTGCAGTTAAAATGTTATGTCTTAGTTAACCTTAAACCTTATAGGAACATTATTTGAAAAAATAAACATCCTAAAAAGGTTCTTTGAACATCAGATTAAAACGTTTCTTTAAAACCTTATTAGAACCAATAGGTAATGTTAGCCAAAGTTGTGAGAACGTTCCCCGTATTTTCAAATTCTAGCGCACTCGAGCCGGTTTCTCAAACTTACCTACCCCACCTTTAATAGATATTAATTCATTAACTAAAAGTGTCACTCAAAAGTATGAATCTTTTAATCTAAGAAAACAAAATGATTTGAGAATGATGTTTGCAGAAAGAAGTTGTGTAACTTTGATCACTTTATTACAAAGAGATTTGTTATATAATAATAATAATGGATTACATTTTTTATTTTTTTATTTAGAGCACTTTTACAGGTGCTCAAAGCGCTTTACAATTACATATTACACATATTAGACATGTAAATGTCATTACTGTGGACATTACCCACAGGAGCAAATGCGGGTAGAGTGTCTTGCCCAAGGACACAACGGCCTGACACAGTGCTGTGCAGTGCATATGCTTAATTTTAACTCAGACAAATGCTTTAAAACTGTAGAATGGCGTATATAGTTGTGCTGTGATGGAATAAATATGATAGCTGCTTTTATAACGGATGAGCCATAATTTAAACATATTAAATGTTTTTTTATTTTTCAAGAGAACAACCTGGTGACGGTCCAAAATCTTTATTTGAAAGACAAATTTGATTTAAAGGGGGAAAAACATGGAATGTCAATAACATGTCAAATTAATTAGATAATACTTTTGAATACACAATGACTCAATTAGCTGCATGGATGTGGTCCAAGAGGTCATTCATAGTGACAAACACAAAGAGCAGTTATCACCTGACTTTGAGGTTCCCCTCAGCTTAAGGAAGGTTTTTAGGGTCTTTGTATGATTTTCCAGCCCACAATTGCTCACATTTTTGCAGCAGATAGCTTTTCTCATGAAAAAAGCTCAGACACCCACTGTTCAAAGCGTAGCAAGAATCTGTTGAACAAAGCGGCGTATTAAGCAGCTAACAAACCAGATATTCCCCCAGGAGTTGGTGCTGAGCAAAAATATGTAAAAATCTAACTAGTATTCATCAGGTTGAAACAAATATGACTCCAAATGAATAATGTTCCTCTGTATCTGCTGTATGTGAAAATGAGGAACTGTTAATATGCTTACCATATCCATATCAACTTAAAGGGTGATAATATATGTGTTTTGTTTACAGCTGATTTCTGGGGTCCAGGTTTTCAGTTTACAATAAATGAGTGTAATATATAAATAAGAAAATTAGGGACTTTATATTTAGTATGAAGATTGAGTTGAGGTTGCCGTTCACTGATACGGCAATCGTATTTAGCGGGAGAAAAATCCAGAACTAATCCAAAGTAGTATGAGCACGTTAAGACGTTGAGTAATAAAGTCGTTTAGATGACTACAGCCTCGAGAGATTCCATGAACATGCTCTGCTGCACGAAGTAGTTTGATGCGTCACTTCCAGTCAGCGGCACTCGTGCACCCTCCAAGGTCTGCGTCTCTTCTCCCTGGCAACAGAGACGCACTTCTGCCTGAGCAGCGTGATGTCAGGCAACACTGGTTTTATAATGTCTTGTTTATAGGCAAACAGAACACACTTCACACGCTTCACGTTAAAAGTATTAAAGAATAAGAATGCGATCCATCAGCCTTTAATTATCAATTTCCCCTTCTCAAATCTTTGAAATCTAACATTATTCTATCTTTAACCAATGACAAGTATTAAAATCATTGACGGGCTGTAGAACTACATGTTTAATCAGCAGGTCACAGTTACTGTTTTTGCTGTGTTTAAATCAAGATGTATACATTGAATTCCCTGTAATGTCATATATCATTTTTGTTAATCCAATGTTAACCATAAATCTAAGCACAGTAGGACATGATCTCAGTGCAGAATAATGGCAAATGTTTCATTTGTGACACCGTGAATCAATTTGCTCTTCGCTCTGTGATGGTGTCTGGCTCATAACGGAAAAACACAGCAAGAGCTGTTAAATCTAGTTTCCTTTGAGTCTCTATAGGGGACTGGACAATGTCCGTTGTCTGCAAAGAAGATACGCTGGTTCTCTTTAATGTGTGGGCGTTGAATTGAGGGCCTATAACTAGAATTAAATTCTCAGAAAATGTAATACTTTCCTCACATTTATTTCAAATGGTGAAACATTAAGCATATATAATGGGACTACTTTACCCAAAGAATAAGCATAATTTCCTACTTACCGTCAGTAGTATACCAATGTATATGTATGTAATTGGGCGGTGGTGGCGAAGTCTATAGGGACTTGGCTTGGCAACTGGAAGGTCACCATTTCAAGTCCCGGCAAGTGCTACCGAGGTGTCCCTGAGCAAGGCACCGTTCAAAATGGCAGCATACTGCTCCTAACACTAGGATGGGTCAAATGCAGAGAAACAATTTCCCCACGAGGGATTAATAATAGTCCATTTTATCTTATGTAGATAACTTGCTTTTATGGATTGCAGTGCATTGATGTTTCATAACTGATGTCCTGATTCATTGGGAATTACTTTCTTGTGTTTTATAAATGAACACAGGTGTTGGACTTTGAACGTGAGAGTGAGTACATCCTGGTGCTTAGCGCTCAGAACCCAGTGGCTCTGGTCCGAGGCCGATACGGACCTGCATCCACGGCAACTGTCTCCATCTATGTGGATGATGTGAATGAAGGTCCGATTTTGTCTCAGAGCCATTATGAGGTTACTGTCAGAGAGGGGGAAGAGCCAGGACGGGTCATCGCCACCATCCGAGGTTATGACCCCGACTCTCACCCAATCAGGTAAGCCTGAGACAATGAATATTTTATCAATAATTATCTTAATTCTGCTATAGTGTTTTTTTAACATGTGTTTTTACAATGTTGTTCTGTGCAGATATTCTCTTCAAGGGGACACCAAGAAATACTTTTCTATAGGGAAGTATTCTGGTGAACTAAAGACGGTGCAGGCCTTGGACAGAGAGGAGAACAGCACATACACCATGGAGGTCATTGCAGTGGATGGGCGTACGTTTATTTTCATTACTATAAAAACCACACATCCATTTCCAGTTAATTATTGACAAAATGTAATGTTATTATATTTCAAATATATAATTTATATCATTTGATGAGTGGATTATTATACATACAGTATAGTGGCTGTGGTAATTTTCCTTTCTGAATAATATTCAATAATCTTTACGTATTTTCAAATGTCCTGATAATAATTGACAGGAAAATACTAAAAAGACACAACTTCCTACACTAACACAAATACTGTAAGCCTATACAAATCCATTCAGACAACCAGATTCCTATTAAAACAGATGTAAAAGTAGAGATGCATGATAGTGAGATCAAAAGAAAACATTAAGAGTGCAAGAAAACAGAAAAAATAAAGACAATCAGGCAAGGAATGTACAAATACAGAATGTTCTGTATTTGTTTAGGGGCGCATACGTTCAACATCTCTTGTGCTCCTCTTAGGAAACTCTTCCTTGTCTGCGTCCACCCTGGTGACGGTCCAAATCCTGGATGTGAACGATAACAGCCCGGTTCTGGTTGGAGACTATTCCTGGAAGTACCTGTGCACGCCTCGCTGGGAGGACCAAGCTCTGGTGCTGGCCTCACGGGACAGTGATGGGCCGCAGCACGGGGGAAGACTCAACTTCTCCCTGCGCAGTGATGCCACAGTGCGACGTAACTGGAAACTAACGCCGATTAATGGTGAGGTGGACGCAGACTTAGTCAACACAGTCAACCCACGGCAGGCAGTGTTACTCTTTTTATTTAAGCTGAAAAGTGAAGACAAGTAAGGTCACATTGTATGGAGGACCTACTTTAGCTTAGGCAGGCCACCAAGGCTGAGATTAATTGTAGCCAATAATCAAAGTGTAGACATTTATAATACAGGTGTTTCAAGTATCAATATGCCCAAGTACTCTGGTGTGATGCTGTGTGCCAACACACTCTCAGAGCCAGCCAGAGAGCTGCTTAATGGATTCACTGCAGATATCAGACCAAATAAGAATCCTTAAATCCATCACGATTTCTAAATCAAATCATTCCATTCATATGGAAAACTTAATACATTATCGTGTACTTTGAGATGGTTTATGGACCAAGTGAAGTGCTAAGTCCAACTTGCTAAGAAACAGCCTGCTTTTAAATAATGCAAGGAGTTAATTTATTGAATAAGACAGGTTGATGTCATCCAGCCATGTAGTATGACGTTGCTGATAAATGGGTTTTTAAATACACCCTGTGGACAGCAAGTTTTCCTAAGTGTGCTAAATGTTTGAATTGTTATGAATAAAAATAGGAGATAGGACATCCATGAGAAAGATGTGCAAATTGCCCTGTTCCTTTTCTGCATCATTTCCTCTACTACTGCCCACTGTCTGGGAATATCTGTCTGCCTTTGTAAACTGCTAGCGTTAGGCACATTTAATGGAAACTATTTGCTGCATTGACGTCTGTCATTAAGTCATTCAAATAGCTCAACCACTTTCCTCTCAGAATTTTTTTATCTCCCACGTTCCCTCCCCTGTTCCTGTTGGTATTGATTGAGCCCGAGCTGTAATTATATCTTCTGTGTAATTTATTTGGCGTCACCGCTGGGTTCCTGCCAGCTAATGGAGGCTAAAAGAGGAATATCCCAGAATGCTTTGCACCTGGTCTCAGCCAGTGACGGACGTACCCATACATGTGTACTTGTACCGGTCTAATGGGTGCTGGTGCACGTTTTGCGTGACACAACCATAACCTCTCATGAAAAGAAAACGTGTGTGTGTGTGTGTGTGTGTGTGTGTGTGTGTGTGTGTGTGTGTGTGTGTGTGTGTGTGTGTGTGTGTGTGTGTGTGTGTGTGTGTGTGCGAGTTTGTGTGTGTGTGTGTGTGTGTGTGTGTGTATGTCTTCAGTCTTTCAGAGCCTCAAATGTACCATGTTTAAATAATTGGCAGTTATTTTCAATACAGTCATTCAGTTAACGAGGCAGCTCACTCTTATTCCACTTACATTCGCTCTTAATGGCTGTTCATAGAAGTGAGGGGAGAAAAAAGTGACACATCCGCTCTTAATGTAATGCATTTAATACCATTGTAATGTCAAATATACTTTTTTGGCATTACAATTATCCAAAATATCGCTTGGTAGGTAGTCACAGAACCAACCTTTGGAAATGTCACAGTAGAGGTGAAACAGTGCAGATAGAAGATAATGTACCAGCATGCACACGTCCTGTTTCCCTGAGAGACAAATGGAACATGAAGGGGACTGATGGTGAGGTGCAAGCATGAAGTTTAGGACCCCCAGATAAGAGTTCAAACAGAATGATAAAGCAGTTCTCTTTACTGGACAGGCTTTTACGTCATGCAGCCAGACGTGTGTTTTTGACTGATTTACAGAGATAAGATACAGAGTCATACGCTCCAGACCTCTCCATGCACTACTCCATTAATCCCTCCGATGCAGCGTTATGCATGTTTGTGCTTGATTTCTACTTTGCTAGAATACATTGTAAAGAAGTTGTTTTGCAGTTGACACCTACAGTATATGATGTAACACGTGTAGTGCACAGGAATGATGCCTTCTTTTTTTTCTTATGAGAAAACATTATGAAAGCAATATTGTTACACTGTGCAAGTGTTTACCAAGTACTATGTAGCATACACTTGTTTATTTTTCTAACAACCACGGTTTTTAATTTTGGCTTGTTGCTGCGGTTGTGCCTTACCTTGTTGTGATTTAAAGGTCCCCTATTATACTGTATTATAGGTCTCAGATATATACAAACATGTCTTGAAATACCAAACAGATCGTGCATTGTAGCATCCCATAAACCCCTCTGTTTCAGCCCTGTTTCAAAAGTGCTGATGCTCTAGGAGGAGATTCAGGTGATACGGTGGGCGGGGGTTACCTTGGTTGGTGATTGGCTAATGGTTACACAAGCCAAAAAATCATGATGACATCATAAAGTGGCCAAAATCTGATCAGCTCATTTTCAGATAGGTGACCAATAGGTGTCAATAGGTGACACATTGTTCATGTCATGTATGTGTTTTGTCTTTCAGATACTCACACCAACCTGTCCCTGAACATCCCGTACCTCGCCCCTGAGGTCTACACTGTGCCCTTCACCATCTCTGACAGCAGCTCTCCTCCCAGGAGCACCTTCATAAACCTGCCAGGTATTACCTGCTCTCCTGCTGATGAGCTAAAGTGAACACACGAAGGCTATGGAACAAAAGCGTAGGAACAATCGATAATGATCAACCCCTGTGTGTGGCAGCATGTCCCAGCACTGTTCTTGTTTAATAATGATGCAATGGAGCTTCACACCGGGCGTGTGATTACACAGCTCTCTTAAGACTCTGTCGAACAGCTGCTAACATCTTATATGCATAACCTAAAATAACGCGCAGGTTCATATGTACAGGTTAGAAAAAGCGGACATTATCTATATAAAATCTGTTTTCATATATATTATAACAAGTATAGTTGTACAGATAAACATTTAACTCCTTCCACTCGTCAACTTCAGAGTTTATATTAAATATATTTCTAAATGAATCTTCCAGTCATTATAAGCAGAGAAATGTTTTTGTTTGTTATTGGAGTTAAGTTCAGTACAGTAATAAAAACGGGCTATGAGTCGTATTTCCTGTTTACTCAAAACTACTCTGTTGTTTCACCCTTTCCCTCTCCTGTTAGTGACAGTGTGTCCCTGCAACGTCAGAGGGAACTGTAAAATGGCTGCCAAGCAGTTGCAGGGCATGCCAACTATCCAGTCTGCAGTGGGGATTCTGCTTGGCACTTTTGCAGTCATTGGTAAGTATACTATAGCTTAAACAACTTTGCATTAGCTCCATGAGAAGCTTTATAAAAGTGTTTTTTAATTGTTTCTGCAGGGCCTGTGTACTGCATTGCATTCAATGTTTCAAGGCTTTTGTGATACTGTGCCTATTCAATATTATTCAGACAAATAAGCATAAACATAATAATGTGGCTGAAAATCTTTTTTATTCCAGGAACTATTCTCGTTGTTGTGTTTGTGAGACTCTCCTACCAAAACCCAAAAGAACCGAGCAAAACGAACCAGGAGAGAGTTCCCCTGAAGACTTCTATCTGATTAGGATGAAACTGATGAAATTGTGCTTCCTGCTCACTGCCTTCGCCAAAGGGATCAATGTAACAATGTTGCTTTTAGGGCACTGAGTTCATTATCTGAATGTCTAAAAGTGAATGTATATTTCAGTTATTAGATCAAACGTCAGATGTTCTGAGCAGAAGTACAAGACATTTTAAATTAGCCTAGATGTGTAATTTGCAGTATGAAATGGTCCGGCCCGAGCATGGGACAAGATGTTGACTTGTGTTTTAGGTTTGTCTTTTGTATTGTTATAGAACTGTTTATTTGTTTAAAAATGATGCCTTTTTACTAGCACAGAGCAGTGGGGCCATGGGTTGTTATAACAATTTAGAGATTTCAGAATTAAGTCATAATATTAAAAGTAAAAAGCTACTTTATTTCAACGTTATTCTTAAAATGTTTTTTTGTCTAACCTTGGCCCAAATCCTCTCTTCATTCACACTGCATGTTTCTGTTGTTCATTCATGTTATACACATCTGGTGATGGAAGTATGATACTATAACTTAGATCTCTAATTATGATAATGACGTTGTTACGTAAAGAAACTTTTACATTTAATGAAATGCCTGTAAATACTGGGTTTTGATTTAATCTAATTCAACATGTACTTTAAGAACTAAACATGTAGCAAGTACCATAGCTGCATCATTTCATAATTCAAAATCTTCCCATCTTATTTTTGTTCTATTAATTGAATCCACGTATAACGGTATCTGTGGCCTCTCAAACCTGTAGATTCACTCATTCACATGTTTTCTTTCTTTTGTACCTGCTTGCTTTCACCTTACAACACACTTATAATCTAATGAGAAAGCCTGAAATAGCCCTGTGTTTGTAATTGTATTTGCGCAGTGTTCCAATCTCTGTGATTAAGGCTATATATATGCTGACCCAGAAGACCTCACAGGCAAGCAAAGCTTTATTCAGACAAAGGTGATGCTATAAATATCTCAACAATTGAAGGTCCGCTGAATCACATTCACCTACTGTAGCAGTGTCCAACAGAGTAATCACCTCTCATTCAAGACAAAGCCTGAATAGATGCTAAATACTCATCAATTAGGCTGCTGCAACAAAGGTTTAGTTAATATAGAATTACTTTTCATGTTTGACTGTGAGGAGAAAAAAGGAGCAAGAAATGATCCTCTCACAGACACCATATTTGGAACGTACTGTATAGACCAGAGGCAAAAAACATCCAACACAATTCTAGGTCTGAATTTATAGATGCAGATTGTTTTTGTCAACAAATGATCATTGACATTTTTTTTGTATTAATCTGACCTTTTTTTTTACAATATGTATAGTGTGGTATAAAGTCAAACAAGCAGAATAAAGACACAGGTATTTTTTTCATAGAAGTGGCTGAAGACCAAACCAGATCTTAAAGATGAGTAAATAGCTAAATGATAATGTTTATGGATGTTACTATTTGCTAACAAATTAACTACGATATAGGATGATTATGCAACAGTTCGGGTTTTGGCGGTTTTGTTAAGTCCGACAATTAATTATGGTAGCTTTATTTGCAATATGACCCTTTATTCTCTAACATGAAACCAAAACTAACTCTGACATTTTGACATCCTTTAATCACCCCTAAAAACCAATCTCAGCAGACATTTCAGCTCTTCATAGTTGAAATACTAAAGGTGATACTAATAACATTCATGATGGCTCTGTTCTCTTCAAGTGTCCCAGACAAAGTGTGACATTGAGCCGGCATAAATAGAACAAGGACCCTAAACTTAGATGGCTAACACGATCGACAGCCATAATCATTTTGATATACACAAGTGCTTTGACAAGCTGTATTCCATGAAAAATACCTATTAACCCTGATTAAATATCTAAAGAAATTGTATTATTATTATGACATTCACTTTCACATATTTGTTTCTATGTACTGCACACATTACACTAGTCCATCAGTAATGGACTAGTCAAAATGTACTGTTCTCTCAGTACAGTACGAAACAAATATTCAGGCAAGAATTCCAGATTGGAAATGATGATGACGTACACAGATGCAGGCCCTCATCTGTCTTAAGGCTGGAAGCTGTATCTTTTTTTATTTATATCTCAGCACAGTTGTTGAGATACATTCTATTCTATTCTACTGATCAAGCAGGCATAAAACCGAGGGCAACATACGGCATCATTGGAGCAGCAATTAGATGTCAAATCTAAAAATAACCACATGTTCACACTGAATATCACAACTACATGTGTGCAATGGGGGTTGCTTTCTGGATATTTTTGATATGCAGTGACTCACCAAATATACAGACAATGTTGCCGATAGCCTACGCACCCACTGCCCATTTATATTAGGCTATTTATATCTCCAGCTAGCCATTCCAATCAAAGCAACATCGCTCCAAGTAAAATAAAAGTACACTGAGAAGGACCCTGAGAGACATGATAGAGCAGGAAGAAAGGGATAAGCTTGCGACACAGGGTCAAGCGTTACATTTGGGATGTAATGAGCCTCCAACTTTAGCCTTGATGTGTTCCAACAGATCCTCCGAGGACAGAGATATTTCAGCTGAACGACTCGGGGTTCAAGGCCACAAAGAGAAATGGGGGCGACATTGCCAATCACTTGAAGTAGCTTGGGAAATGAGAGATAATTCACCACATAAGGACGGACACTCAGGGACAGTAACAGTGGAGCAGTGGACACTTTTCCCCAAGCGTCCGGACGGTTTTCCATTGCTTGGTTACCGGAACAGAGGAGTGTTTTTCCTAACCCTCCCTCTGTTATGAGTTTCTCCACAGCTTCGGCTATTTTAAGCTTGTTTTAAGATCATGTAGTTTCACTTTGGCTTCAAACTTAACAGTTTTCCCAGATTTAGCTGTCAGAGGGTTGCTCTGTATCAGTAAGTCTTCCATTATTATAACATGAAAACTTGACACGGGCCATTTTTCCACCGTAATCTTACAATAGCTATAGCAATAGTAATTATTTTATATGAACATGGATCACATTAATACTTGTATGTGTAAGGGATTGCTCAAGCCAATACATAATACATCTCTCTGCAGTTCCTGAAGTTTGAGGAGGTAACGATGGAGAAACTAAAACCTATATGAACAGAATATTCACACTTATGGCCCAGACTAACATGGACTCCAAATTATTGTTAATTGTTATTATTAGGTAGCTTTATAAGGTGATGATATGTTAGTCTCATATGTCCAGCCTAATTTTCAAGCAGGTTGTATTCACTGTCATGTCGAAAGTTGAAGAGGAGATCGAGAACTACTCATGTGCCAGGCCAGCGTTAGGTTATCCTAGCTTAGCATAAACATTCTTCAAAGATAAGAAACTTGACCTATCATACAATAACCTCTAAAGCTTGCTTTGTTATTTCGTTTTTGGATAATCATTTGTTTGATGTTTTAGTTTTTTAAGGGTTTATGTGCTGGACTATGTTTTGACCAGGAGCAGTAGCTTAAGCATCTGCCTGCACTTTATAGTCATGACAGTGGTATTGATATTTGCATCAAACCTTTGTAAATAATTGTGGGTACCACTTTACAATAAGAGTACCCTTATAAAGGGTTTACGAATAGTTTGTAATTCATTTATTAATTAGGTTGTGAACACTTTATAAATCATGAATAAGCTTTTATAAGACATGAGATAAAGAGGGCAACTGTGACCGGTTGCTTGCCAAATAGTGAGCCCACAGTTATCATATTGGCTACTTACTTCTTCTTCTTCATCAGCCAGCATCCTTGGTATCTGTTGCTCACTGAGTTGATTCTGGCTAAGTAGCCAATATAAAGGCCCTGACACACCAGGCCGATTTCGGCTGTTTTCGTAAGTCGGGAGACGAAGCGTGTCCTGTCGCCCAAACTCAATTTGGTGTGTCCCGCACCGTCGACCGTGACACGCCTTATTTGGACTGCCTGTCCCGATGCATGGCCGATTCAACATGTTGAATCGGCCATGCATAGGGTCTGGCAGTCGGACCAAACAATCACTCTGATTGGCTGTTCAGCTAGCGAATCAGTGCATGAGAAGCGAAACGGAAGTGAGGGACGTAAACAAACGATTTAAGAAGGCACACACAGACTGATATTCATTTTCATCTCATCATGGCGATCTGGAATGACGCAAACGAAGACTTGCTCATCACCTTGATGCAAACCCGACGCGAAAGTACTTACCCCCGTCAGGCAAACTAGACCGAAGAAGTATGATCGTATTGGTCTTATTGTTAGCGGGAGACATCCATCTGAATCCGGGCCCGGTGCAGACAAGAAGCCAGTCCTGCAGGCTCGAGGAGCTAGCATCACAATTAGCATCAGAACTAGCATCTCTTCCGCTGCAGCAACAACTACGCGACGACAACAGAGACCGTGGAGACAGCGGAGACCGAGGAATAAACGGAGACTTCGAGATTCCCCCGGGGACGCCTCGGCAGACAGACACGCATGAGGCAGTGACGAGAGGAATAGAACCGAGATCCGAGGGAACAAATATCCGCCATGTTGTTAACCAACTACAAAAACCTAGGGGTACGCAAAGATGATTTCAGTCTAGCAAGGGTAACAACAGCAGAGGTACTCATTAAACTGAGCGCCCTCCAACCTAACAAGGCCACTGGCCACGACAATATCCCCTCCAAATTCCTCAGAGACACAGCAACCGCCATCTCACCAGTCATAGCTCACATAATTAACCTCTCCATAAAACAGGGAAAAGTACCCAAAGACTTCAAAATTGCAAGAGTAACCCCCCTGCACAAAAAGGGCAGCAAATTGGACCCAGGCAACTACCGCCCTGTTTCTATACTTACCTCCATCTCGAAAGTCATGGAAAAAAATAGTATATGAACAGGTCGAAAAGTACCTCGCGGAAAAGAAACTAATCTATGAATTTCAATCTGGCTTTAGAACATCCCACTCCACTGACACATGCCTTCTTTATTTGAGCGACCACATCAAACAAGAGGTGGACGAGGGCAAGTACTGCGGCATGGTGATGCTGGACCTACAAAAGGCTTTCGACACTGTCAATCACCCCATTCTGATTGACAAGCTAAAAGCAATTGGTTTTGATAAACTATCGGTGAGCTGGATGCAATCCTACCTGGAGGGGAGAGAACAGATGGTGGAGGTAAACGGTACTCTGTCCCCCCCCCCCTCCCAGTGAGCTGTGGTGTTCCACAAGGAAGCATATTAGGTCCGTTACTGTTCCTAATTTATGTAAATGACATGTCATCAGCATGTGACTGCAACTTGTTCCTGTTCGCGGACGACTCAGCCCTGCTGGTCTCTGACAGGAACAGGTTGCAGGTTGAAAAAACCCTCAGCTCCGAGCTCGACAGAATCTGCACCTGGCTCGCCGATAATACATTATCATTACACCTGGGTAAAACAGAGTCCATTCTCTTCGGTTCGAAACATAATCTCAGCAAATCCGACGACTTCTCAGTTGCAGTGGGCGACATTATTGTCACAAGTAAGAAGGAAATTACATACCTAGGATCTATTCTTGAGGCAA